AAAAGCGAGGACACTGGGTGTAGCCATGACGACGACAGTGGAGCAGTGCAAGCAGTAGGGGAAGGGTACGCAGTGACAGCAGTGCAGTGCTCACCAGGCAGGGCAGGTCGGGCGGCTCAGGAGGAAGGTCGCCTGGCGACACGGCTGCTAGGCTGCTGGGCGTCTCGGCTCCCGGGCGGCTCGGCTGCTGCTTGGCGGCTCGGCGGCTGCTGGGCGGCTCGGCGGCTCCGGGCGGCTCGGCTGCTGCTGGGCGGCTCGGCGGCTCCGGGCGGCTCGGCTGCTGTTGGGCGGCTCGGCTGCTGCTGGGCGGCTCGGCGGCTCCTGGGCGGCTCGGCTGCTCCGGGCGGCTCTGCTGCTGAAGTCGGGCGGCGCGAGAGCAAAGGGCGGCGGGGCCGTTAGTGCTGGGGCGGCGGGGCCGCGAGACCAGGGGCGGCGGGGCCGCGTAGTAGGGGCGGCTGGGGCCGGGAGCGCTTAGGGCGGCGGGGCCGCGAGATCAGGGGCGGCGGGGCCGTGAGCGCTGAGGCGGCGGGGCCACAAGATCAGGGACGGCGGGGCCGCGGGCGCTGGGGCGGCGGGGCCGCGTATCAGGGGCGGCGGAGCCAGGAGCGTTGGGGCGGCGGGGCCGCGAGATCAGGGACGGTGGGGGCCGCGAGTGCTCGGGCGGCGGGGCCGCGTATCAGGGGCGGCGGGGCCGGGAGCGCTCGGGCGGCGGGGCCGCGAGATCAGGGACGGCGGGGGCCGCGAGCGCTTGGGCGGCGGGGCCGCGAGAGAAGAGGCGGCGGGGCCGCGTTCACTGGGTGGCGGGGCCGCGAGGGTAAGGCCGGCTGCTAGGGCGGCTCGGGGAAGGAGTAGCCCGAGGCGCGACTCGGGATGAGTGCGCTTCGGGCAGGAAAAAAAAGATTTCGAGTGGTGGGCCCTAGGCACAGTTCCCACAGGGGAACCTGCTCTATACCATGTGAAACAACTGAACAAGAATAAATGAACTATGAATGAAGTGAGTACAAATACGAAACCCTAATTAGGTTGTACCCCCTATGGGATACCCCACTATAGCCTACACAAATAAGTAAGCTATAATGTTCTGACACAGCGTTCGCCGCCTGGCTACCAGTAGCAGAGAGAGAGTCGGGAGCACAGCTGAAAAGCTTCCAGTCAGACGGAGGAGGAAAAAACACCTCTCAGCGATTCAAGCAGTACCTGGCGGAAAGAGGAATCAAGCAGCTCCTCTCCCTTCCCTACGCCCATCAGCAGCAAGGTGTCGCAGAAAGAATGAACAGGACTCTGCAGAACAGCATGCGCAAACTGCTACGTGGCATGCCGCTACCCAACCACCAGTGGCCTGCAGCAATGGACCATGCTGTCATGCTGCACAACTTGATGTCGTCCTCCTCACTTCCGAACAACGCATCTCCGCATCTGCTGTGGACAGGGAAACAGGGCAGCACGAAAATGTTACGAGTTTTCGGGTGCATGGTACAGTACCGACCCCTAGAGGCACGAGCGGGAAGATTTTCACAACGTGCACAGTGGGGACTACACCTCGGCATCGAAAAGAATTACAACGCGTGGAAAATCTTCGACGTCCACTCCAAGGAAACACTCGCTGCACGTGACGTGATCTTCTACGAGCGACTCACCCTTCAAACGTACCTCGCCAACTTGCACGAGAATCAGGACCCCACAGGTGGTTTTTGTGGTGACAGAGCCTTCGCCTCAGCAGCGGACGAAGCAGACTGGGATGAACAGAACGTCGACAGCGCATCGGAAGAAACCGGACCTCTCCCGTACTGCTCCGTCGACGTGCCCATGGATGAAGACAATCGTCGCGACAGTGTCAACGCCGAAGTCTTCTATCACTTCGCCGACAACGGTTACGTAAAACCTGCGACACTCAACACAAACGAAGCAGAACGGATAGGGCCAAATTTCATACCCGATCCAGAAGCGGGAGACGAAGCAGCTTTTCCCGAGGATCCAACACTCCCCCGATACTCACAGACTGGACTGCAAATCCTCGGCCTCGTCACCGCAGTCCACGGCAACGCACTTCCTAAGGAGCCTGCGACGGTTCAGCAGGCTCTGGGGGGGGAACACAGGGAGAAATGGCGCGAAGCCATGGACAGAGAGTTTAAGGCACTGGAGGAACGCAACACTTGGAAGGTCGTTCTCGCAAGCGTGGCAAGGAACAAGACCATTCTCACTGAGAAATGGGTCTTCCGCATCAAAACGAAAGCAGACGGCACAATCGAGAAGTTCAAAGCACGCTGGGTCGTGCGTGGATTCGACCAAGAGCAAGGACGAGACTTCACCGAGACATTCGCCCCAGTTATTCGACATACCTCTCTTCGAATTCTTCTCGCCGTTGCCGCCATGAAGAAGAAGAAACCGCGACAAATCGATGTCGCCAACGCATTTCTCTACGCACCCGTCGACGCCGAAATCTTCGTCGAACTCCCACACGGTACCCACGGAAACCCCAATCAGGTCTGCCAGCTACTGAAATCGCTCTACGGAATCAAACAATCCCCGCGGCTGTGGCAACAGCACCTACACACCCGACTCACTCGCATCGGATTCCGCCAACTGCCGCACGACCAAGGAATGTATCGATTCACTAAAGACGCCGATTACATCCTACTGATCGTCTACGTCGACGACCTACTCTACATCGGCTCCACCGACGACATCACCACCTGGTTCGAAGGGGAGCTGCAGAAGGACCTCACGCTCACGGTTTCTTCTACCGTCACCCAGTACCTCGGGCTCAACATCCGCGAAGAAGAAAATGCTATCTACTTAAGCGCCGAGAAATACGCCGACACTATCGCCAAGCGCTTCTCGCTCACACCTACGGCTATCACCACGCCATACCGCTACACGGCAGGAAGTAACAAAGGAAATTCCGCTCCACTCAAAGCTGCCGGAATACGAGACTACCAGAGGAAACTGGGCTGCCTCCTCTTCGCAGCCGTCACCTGCCGCCCGGATCTATCCTACTCCGCAAGCCAACTCGCTACCTACCTCAAGAAACCCGAAGCAGAGTACCTGGCGGAGCTCGATCGTGCACTACACTACTTCGTGAGCACTCCGACGATCGGCCTGACTTACTACAAAAACGAAACTACGACCACGAAACTAATCGGCTACGTCGATGCCGATCATGCCGGCGATTCCGACAATAGGCGCTCTCGCACTGGCTACGTCTATCGTCTCGAGCCTATCGGACCTATCTCCTGGCAATCGAGCAAGCAGGAACTAATTGCTCTCTCCTCAGCTGAAGCAGAATATATCGCACTCTGCTCAGCCACCAAGGAAGGACTCTACCTTCGCGAGCTGCTGGAAGAAGCAAAGTTAGCCGAGTTACCCAACTTCACCCTATTCTGCGACAACCAATCTGCAATTCGCATCGCCAACAAAAGCGGATTCGCGAACAGAACGAAGCATATCGCTCTGCGATACTTCTTCGTGAAAGACGAGATCGAGAAAGGGAAACTCGAATTATCCTACTGTCCCACGTCCGAGATGGCAGCCGATTACTTGACCAAGAAATTCGGAAAACAGAAGTTCGAGTACTGCATGCTGCTGACTGGACAAGGCCACGTCACCATTAGCGACACTCCAGAAGCGAAGGGGAGTGTTGGGAACAATAAGTCTTAAAGCGCCTCTGTCGTGTCGAAACTCAGGACACAAGCGAAGCAGTCCAAATCGAAGCATCGCGAGTCAACCCTCGGAGGTTAGGGTAACCGCCTGGAGGTTACGCGAAGGTCAAAAGTCAGCGACCTTTCACTTGACAAATACAGCGCGACAGCAGGGACACACAACTGACTCGACATTGAGCAGTTGCCCGAGTCGCACTGTATTGAATCGCAACGGCAAAACAGTTTAATGATATCTATTCGTATTCCTTGTACTCTTATATAAAGCCTTGTATTTGCTTGTTTTAATCAACTTACTTTGCCCTCACATACTAGCGCAAGGTGGTTCAAGGACTTTATTCAAACGCTTCCGCTATTACAATCCTACTCAGACTTTAACTCTACAAAGATCCTAGGGCATCTCAGCCCAACAGGATCAATCGGGGGTCACCAGTGGACCTCTGACAAGAACTATTAATATCTAACAACCATCATGTGATTACTGGGAGGGGCAGGTTGCAGATGCTGTTAGCATACACATGGTATATGTTTGTGGTGTGTCCTTTGTAGGCTGCTACACTGCCGTGTTTCTCAATTGGAATCTCACTATGTTTTATCTAGATTGTGCAATCCTTGCCCTCTTTTGCAATTGTACTAGTAAGACAAGCGTGAGGGTAGGGCTTGAAGATGTACACATGTTTACAGGATAGAAAGCTGGAATTCCTCTCCCACCGTCGTCTGGGGGTCTAGTGAAAAATGATCCAATTCGCACAAATATCAATTCGAGTTCGCGTCGCAGTGTACTCAGCACGTGTCATCTTCGCTTTTGACTAGTGGCGTCCGATGGCTCACGAGCCACGGTCTCATCACTTCGCCCATCGCACCACCACAAGCCTTTGCCCTGGACGTCTGACGTGTCGACAAGCTCCATCTCATGGTTGCTCTAAGTTGCCTGTCCCGCGTGGCAGTGCCACGTACGGCACAATATGAGGCAGGTGGAGTCCTTCACTTCCATCCCAACCTTTTTCACAGGTGGCACAATCAGCCCCGGCAACGCGGACGGGAGTATGCCGCGTGGCGTCGACTGGTGTCGATGAACACCTTATCCGTCTCTGTTGGAATAGCCAACCTCCCGATTAGCCATGCGAAACCCAGCAGCAGGCTTGCTCCCTGCCGAACCATCCCTGCGACGAGAACCCCACAGTACAGCAACGACTCCCAGCCCCACACATCCCTTGAGCAACCAAGCTGAAGGATCACAGGCTGCCTTATATCATTCCCGAGGGCCATTTTTGGGAAAGCAAGAGCAGTCCCCTTTCCAACAGCACATTCTCCCACACAGTCGACAGACTACCACAGCACACCATGGCCGCTGCGCTGTCTTCCTCTGTCGCTTGCGGTTCCTTCGTGGCCGCTCCCACTGCCTCCTTGAAGAAGGATGCGGTCACTGTGGGCGTTGCTCCCCTTGTTGCCCCTGCTGTTGGCAAGAGCCTCGTGAGTGTCGATAAACTCGATTTTAGCAATAGCATTCCAGGATAAGTGACTGGAACCTACAGAAGAATGATCCTTGCTTTCGGTAGTTACTATCGCCGTTCAGGCTGCACTCCCAGTGTGCTCATTTTCCCTTTCGCTTTCCATTGCCTATCTACTGCAGAGCGTCTGCAAGAGCTCTATTGCTGGTCAGGCCCTGAAGTCCCGTGCCGTTGCCGTCTCTTCCTCCAAGACTGCCTCCAGGGCGGTTGTGAAGGCTGAGATTGGGGACTCCCTGGTACGTGCTTTGCTTCAATCGAGATGGTCCTAATTGTTCTTGGATGTCTACCGACCGACCTAACCGTTACCTTTCCGGTTCCTGCAGGAGGAGTTCCTCGCCAAGGCTACCCCCGACAAGGGTCTTGCCCGCCTTCTTGTGTGCATGGGTGAGGCCCTTCGCACCATTGCCTTCAAGGTCCGCACGGCGTCTTGCTCCGCTACCTCCTGCGTGAACACCTTCGGTGATGAGCAGCTCGCCGTCGATGTGCTCGCTGACAAGCTCCTGTTCGAGGTACTTTCTCCGTAATGCTGGATCGTACTTTTATTTAGATATTTTGACCAGTTTTCGGATCCTAATTTGCCTTTCTTTCCATCACATGTTCTTTCCAGGCTCTCAGGTTCTCGCACGTCTGCAAGTATGCCTGCAGTGAGGAGCAGCCCGATCTCCTCGACATGGGTGGCCCAGTTGAGGGTGGTTTCAGCGTCGCCTTCGACCCCCTTGATGGCAGCAGCATTGTCGACACCAACTTTACCGTTGGCACCATCTTCGGTGTCTGGCCCGGTGACAAGCTCACGGGCGTCACTGGCCGTGATCAGGCCGCTTCCGCTATGGGCGTGTATGGTCCCCGTACCACGTACATCATTGCCGTCAATGGCTTCCCCGGCACCCACGAGTTCCTCCTCATGGACGATGGTACGTCTGACGTTGGGTTGCGAATAATTTCTGCCATCCCAATCTCGCAGTCGATATATTATGACGTACTGGGTTATGGATAAATATTTTCTTTCGAATCTTTCTTCAGGCAAGTGGATGCACGTGAAGGAGACCCACACCATTGGTGAGGGTAAGCTGTACGCTCCCGGAAACCTCAGGGCCACCTTCGACAACCCCGAGTATGAGAAGGTACGCTGCGGACGAAAGAAGCGAAACAATGAATACAACAGGATTTTTCCCCCTCTGCATTGGTGTGTTGCGGTATCATATCTCGTCCTCACCCTTGTTATTCTTGTCCTTTCAGCTTATCAACCACTACGTCAGCGAGCAGTACACTCTCCGATACACTGGTGGCATGGTGCCCGATGTTGGACAGGTACGTCTCACCACGTTACGAGATAACGCTGCTAGTGCGATGGTTTGTGTGGCTCAGACCATTTACCCGATTCTTTCTCCTGTGTAGATCCTCATCAAGGAGAAGGGTGTCTTCACCAACGTGATCTCTCCGTCCACCAAGGCTAAGCTCCGCCTTCTGTTCGAGGTTGCACCTCTTGGCCTGCTCATTGAGAACGCCGGCGGGTACAGCAGTGACGGTTTCATCTCTGTGCTGGACAAGCCTATCACCAACACCGATGTCCGCACACAAGTGTGCTATGGCTCCCGCAAGGAGGTGCAGCGATTTGAGGAGACACTCTATGGAAAGTCCCGCCTGTCGGCCTCGGTCTCCGCCTAAATTCATTTTTGATGTTTTCTCAATCTAGTAATATATTTACACAAATCTAAAACAGTCAAAACGACATTTAGGCCCTTGCATTTCATGCTGATCGATTCACGTGCACTGGTCGGTGTCTAGCTTTGGACCAAGTTTACTAGGTACCAGGCCCCCCAAAACACGATGAAGCCCCATGCCTCAACCTAACCGTAAATTGGCACTCTAGCTGGTCTTGTGACCCTTCTCCCCCACTTTGCTTATGGGGGTGTGTCAAATTATATGCATGTTATATATGTGAGGGCTGTAGTGGGGTAGCCAATATGGGGTACAACCCCATTAGGGTGTCATATTTGTACCAAACCCTGATCTAGTCAATTCATTCCTGCTAGTAGATTCTAACATGGTTTCAGAGCACAAGGTCCGTAGAACCGTCTTTTTTTTTGTGCCCACCTACTGTTGCAGTTACCGCGCTACCCTACGTATTGTCCTACACGCGCCTTCCCCTGCCTTGCCTTGTGACGTGCTGCGCTACGCGCACCGTCCTGCAGCCCTCGCGCTGCCTACTGTTGCCCTAGCTACGCGCGCACCGCCCGACAGGCCCATAAGGCCAGCGCGCCGCCCCTGCACGCCCGTAAGGCCAGCGCGCCGCCCCTGCAGGCCCGTAAGGCCCGCGCGCCGCCCCTGCAGGCTCGTAAGGCCCGCGCGCCGCCCCTGCAGGCCCGTCAGGCCTGCGAGCCGCCCCTGCAGGCCCGTCACGCCAGAGCGCCGCCCCTGCAGGCCTTTGCCGCCCGCGCGCCGTCCCTGCCGCTGTCGCGGCCCCGCCCTGCCGCCGACGCGGCCCCGCCAGGTCGCTGTTGCCGCCCCGCCCTGCCGCTGACATGGCCCCGCCCTGCCGCTGTCGCGGCCCCGCCCTGCCGCCGACGCGGCCCCGCCCTGCTGCTGTCGCGGCTCCGCCCTGCCGCCGACGCGGCCCCGCCCTGCCGCTGTCGCGGCCCCGCCCTGCCGCCGACGCGGCCCCGCCAGGCCCTGCCCTGCCGCAGACACGGCCCCGCCCTGCAGCAGCTGCCGCGGCCCTGCCCTGCCGCTGTCGTTGCCCCAGCCTTGCAGCTGTCGTGGCCCCGCCCTGCCGCTGTTGCGGCCCCGCCATGCAGCTGACGCGGCCCTACTCTGCAGCCGCTGTTGCGGCCCAGCCGTCGCCCCCGTCGTGCGCCTACCCTGCCGCCGCCCGCCGAGTGCCGGCCCTGCTCGCCCGGCGAGCGCCTGCCCTTCCCGCCACTGGTGAGCACCTGCCCTACCCGCGCTTCCCGCGCGCCTGCCTTGTTAGCGCGCTGCCGCGCCATCTGCCTGCCTGCCGCGCCTACCTGCCAGCCAAGCCGCGCCGCCCAGCTGAGTCGCGCCGCTCCGCCGCGCCGAGCAGCCCCGCCGAGCTGCGTCGGGGTGCCGGGCTGTGCAGCCCTGCTATGCTGAGCCGCACTGCCCTACCCGCGCTGCTACTGCTGCTAATTCTGTTATTGCTGCTAGGCTGCTGCTGCTGCTGCTACTGCTGCTACTACTGCTACAACTGCTACTGACGGTGGCCAGATGCAGCTCCAGCGACGTCCGCGCGAGTCTCTCACGCCCCAGCAGCTTCGTGAGTGGTACGCTAGTTGGGGTTGTGGCGGTAGCCGTCGTGGCTATCGCCCTGGAGCTGGTCAGTCGGGAGCGTCTGGCAGTGGCCAGCTGCAGCTGCAGCGGCATCCGCGCGAGACACTTATGCCCCAGCAGCTTCGTGAGTGGTCTCAGAGTACCGTTCGCTGCCCGTACGTCATTCGCACAAGTGATCGGGCTGGTCAGGCTTGCGGGACGCTTGGTCACACACAGTCCCGCTGCTTCGCCCGTCTGAGCGACGCCTGGCGTACCGAGTTTGGCGACGGGGCTGAGCTCCCCACCTGGCGGGAGCTGCTTAGATAGAGGGTAGATATCTTTGTTCTTGACTATGATGCTATTCTCACTGCCATGTATACATTGCCTACTCGTGCTGACAGTGCCTGTTACCTGTGCGTACCGCCTGACCCAGGTATAAAGCCCGCTACTCTAGGTGCTGGTCAGGCTGCTGCTCTAGGTGCTAGTGCGTCTCCTGCTCTAGGTGCTGGTGAGGCTGCTGCTCTAGGTGCTAGTGAGTCTACTGCTCCAGGTGCTGGTGAGTCTGCTCTCTCTAGTACTACGCCTGCTAAGGCCTTGTACACCTTCACACTTGACTCAGGTGCTTCCCACTCCTTCTTTCGCGACAGCACCAGCCTCACGCCATTCAGTCGACCGGTTGAAGTCTCCCTGGCAGACCCCTCTGGGGGTCCAGTCCTTGCGCACTCCTCCACGGTCCTGCCGTGTCCAGACGTCTCGTGTGGCTCCGTGTCAGGTCTTCACATCCTCTCGTTCTCTACGAACTTGGTGAGTGGTGCTGACCTCCAGGACCAGTGGGTTGACCAGCTCACTCCTGGAGGTCAGCGCGTGACCCACTGTACGTGCTCCTGGACGGGCCAGCACCTGGGCACGTTTATCCGTGCGCCTGGCTCGAGTCTGTACACACTGACTACTGTGTCCCCTCAAGTCGCTGCGTCTGCATCTGCGTCAGGTCAGTTAGCGCCCCCCTGCTTGTGTCGCGCTTTGTCGCACCAGACTGTCCTTTGGCACCACCGTCTTGGTCACCCCTCGGTGCAGCGCCTTCGTAGCATGCACAGCCGAGTCCTTGTCTCTGGACTTCCCCGGGTTCTCCCTCCCCTCCCTCCCTCGCTTGCTCCTCCCTGTCTTCTCTGTGTCGAGGGGCGGCAGCGCGCCGCTCCTCACTCCTCCTCGTTTCCCCCGACGACTGCTCCCCTGCAGACCCTGCACATGGACGTGTGGAGCCCAGCCCGCGTCCGTGGACAGGACCACGAGCGGTACTTCCTGCTGGTTGTTGACGACTACTCGCGTTACACCACGGTCTTCCCCTTGCGCACCAAGAATGAGGTCCCTGATTTTTTGATCCCTTAGTTCCGCGCTGCCCGTCTCCAGCTCCGCGAGCGGTTCGGGACGGAGTTTCCCGTCCTACGTCTGCACTCTGACAGAGGTGGAGAGTTTTCCTCCGACCTTCTGCGGAGCTTTTGTCGTGGGGAGGGCATTCTCCAGACGCTCGTGCTTCCGGCCTCTCCGCAGGAAAATGGGGTTGCTGAGCGCCGCATTGGCTTGGTCATGGAGGTCGCTCATACTTCCATGGTCCATGCGGCTGCCCCCCATTTTCTGTGGCCGTTTGCGGTCCGCTACGCTGCGCATCAGCTCAACCTCTGGCCCCGTATCTCCTTGCCGGAGACCTGGGGGTGAGGAGTCTGGGGGTGCTGAGCCTGGGGGTACTGAGTCTGGGGGTGCTGCACCTGGGGGCACTGAGGCGTCTAGTGAGCAGTCTCCCTGGAGCGGCCGTCTCCGTAGTCGCTTCGCCGGTGCCTCGCCGCTGTAATCTCGTCGTCGTCTCCCTCTCTCCCCATAGCAGCTGCATGAGTGGTACGTTAGCTGTCAGGGTCCAGCTGCTGGAGCTGGGGGCCCTGCTACGGGAGGCGCTTGAGCGGTACGTTAGCCATCAGGGTCGCGCTACTGGAGCTGGGGGCTCTACTGCGGGAGGCGCTGGAGCTGGTGACTCTGCTACTAGAGGTGCTTCTACTGAAGTTCCTGGAGCAGCTGGTCCCGGAGGTGCTCGTACTGGAGGTACTAGAGCTGCTGGGACTGGAGGTCCTGCTGGACCTGTAGGTGCTCCTGTCAACTCTGAGGTTGGAGGCCCTGGAGCGGGAGGTGCTGGTTCTGGGGGTGCTACTGGTGGTGGCGCTGGAGCGGGAGGTTCTGGAGCTGCTGCGGGTGCTGGAGCTGGAGGTTCTAGTACTGTTGGAGGTGCTGGCGCCGGTGGCGCTGGAGCTGGAGGTTCTGGAGCTGCTGCGGGTGCTGGCGCTGGAGGTTGTGGAGCAGTTGGAGGTGCTGGCGCTGGTGGCTCCGGAGCTGGAGATTCTGGAGCTGCTGAGGGTGCTGGCGCTGGAGGTTCTGGAGCTGCAGGAGGTGCTGGAGCAACGGGGGCTGGTGGCACTGCACCGCCGCGACTGTTCTTCGCTCCGCCGTCACCTTCGTGTCTGCCACCGCCTAGCTCCGTGCTTTGCCAGGTTCTTAGCCTCCCGTCTTCTACTGGTCTTCCGTTACAGCCTGGCTCACCGCTGCCTGCTCCTTCTCCTTACACTGAGTTGATAGGCGGTCTTGCTGAGTGTCGTGACCCTGCGTCTCGTCCTGTCTCGCATGTTCACAGTGTCCGCACTGGTCGTACTGGTCGTCGTGTTCCTTGTGAGCATCCGCCGGCCGTCCCCGGCACACACCTCATGGCCCTGCGTCCTTCTTCTGCTCCGCAGCGTGTTCCCCTGCCGTCCCCTCCTGCGTCTTCTCTGCCTGACGTTCTAGAGCCTGAGTCTGACCGCACTCGTGCTGCTCACCCTACTGTCACGCGTCTGCTAGCCACAGTTGTCACTGACCCGTCGTTTGAGTTTGCTGCTGCGTCTGCCTTTGTTGCTGAGCTTATTGACTTTGCTGCTGCCTGTCGTCTAGACTACGCCGCTAGTCTTGTTGCTGAGTCTGAGTCTGTGTGTCCTCTGTCCGTCAGGGGTGAGTGTGCTCTTGGCACGGACGTCCTTGAGGACAGGCAGGAGGACCTTGAGTGTCTTGCAGCCGCCGCGCCTCATCTCGTGTCCATGTTGCTTGCCCCTGAGGGAGACGCGGATGCATCAGACATCCCGACTCCGCGTTCTTACGCTGAGGCGATCGCGGGTCCCTACTCCACTCAGTGGCTGACAGCCATGGACACAGAGATGGCATCCTGGAAGTCCACAGGCACTTACGTCGACGAGGTTCCCCCTCCTGGAGGGAACATCGTCGATGACATGTGGATTTTCAGGGTGAAGCGGCCGCCAGGTTCTCCGCCTGTCTTCAAGGCTCGTTACGTTGCTCGAGGGATCAGTCAGCGCGAGGGAGTCGCCTTC